TGGCGTACGCCTTTCTCATCCACAGAAATCGAAAATTGGCTATTTCCGGTTAAGGGGTAGTGAAAAAAAGAAGTAGTGGTTCCATTGGACTTTGTAGTGGAAGGTTATTTCAAAAACTCCAATAAATCGGATAAATCATGGCCTACCCCTCACAACTCCAATGGCATTTGATACAAACGCTGATTTTTTTCTATTCCTTTGAACCGCGGATAAATCCACCGACTTTCCCCACCAAGAAGAGAAACTTTGAAAAAGATGATGTGATGAAAACATAAATAAATAAATCAATAAATTAATAAATATTTCCCATGTTACTGCTATAGGGTTTGTTACTTAAGTGCTACAGATAAGCTTGAGAATAATGAAGCATATAATTCAACGTACTTGGATAGAGACTGAGCTCATCGGCTGTGAGTCGGGTGATTTTGTTGTGCGCGAGATCGAGACGTTTCGTTCGAGGATCCAACAGTATCGGAACACTTCGTAACGATTGAGCATGACATACGGTAACACTTGACGAACAGTCACAACCCTTCTGACATCCGCTAACCGAGGTAGCGAATAGTAAAAGTAATAACATCTGAAAAAGAGGGAATAAAGCCAGGAATGAGAAATCCTCAAATACACATACCAAAGATAATATGGACGAACAGAAGGGAAGATAATGTGCCCCGATAAATCGAACAATAATTTCTCAATAATTACTGGCATCTGGGTGTCCAAGAAAATCGAGAAAATTTAGCAAATGTAGGCAGAAAAACAAAAAAAATAGGAAAAAACGAGTCACTGGTCCCGGAAATTCACAACCAATGAGGAGGAGGTTTTGAATTTAGATACACTCGAGATCCCTGAGATCGGGTAGGCGTGGCTAAATGGCGGCGGCCTAGGTTTTCGTGAGATATTTTCATTTTGGAACAGTCGTAATCATGTCTACATCTAACACAGAACAAGATAGCAGTTGTTTCAAATTGAAGTATCCCACGAGTAGCCCGTCCTATGCCATGCTCAAAAGCCACGCCTACTCCGTCTTAGGGATAAGGAGTGTAGGTGCAGTGTGAGAAATGCCATGCGTAAGGAAACTGGTGCTGGTACTTCAGTGACCACGGGTGACCCTTGACATTGATTAATTATCACTAGCGCAAATACTGGAAATAAAACCAAAATGGCCACTGGTCCCAAAATTTCACCACTCTTGGCTTGGATAAACGAGTAAAAGGAGATATGCCGCCTTTCATAACTGGTGCTTCTCCGACCATTTGCTTTGAAAGCACGGCACGTCGTACGTGGGTCATCCTCGGGTTGGTAGTGGAGGGATGGGGGTCATATTTGCTTTTGGGAGAGATTTTTCCGGTTGTCGCCCTTTTCTTGCTTTCTTTCCCATTTCACGTGTGTTGAGGCCGAATTATCCCTCCCCTCGCATAAAGCTTCAAAACTTAAGCTTCTTTGGGGAAAAA